TTGAATCAGAACTGCCTCTGATATACAGCAAAAAACGAAACCCAAGTTGTCAAGAATATCCAGATTTTAACTTCAACCAAAGTACTTAACATATTAAACAATACAGAATCTCTGTTGCAGTGCTGTAGAAACAATTTTCTTACTTTTAAATCCACATTGATACTAATCTCTACTCTTGCAGATATTTTTGTTTGCGGTTTTTGGAAACCTGATGGGATGTGTGTGTGTGTGTGTTTGTATGCACATGCACGCGCGTGTGTGTGTTTGTGTGTATTCGCTATTTCTCAGAAAGGTCAGCCAGGAATAGTGTCATTACCAGTGAAATTCAAGACATGTCTGGACCTACAGTTACTTCGCTATTTGTTTGGCCACTGAAGCCTGATCAGCTGATGCTGAGGTGAAAGTACTGCGATCCATTACCTAGCATTTTTGATTTGTCTCGTTATTGCTTTTCTTGCACAAAAGAAGTATTTGTATTAGCTACCAACTGTTCTGTCTCCTCTCCCCACCCTCTTGCTTGACCCAGTGCATGCATTCACATACACGCATGCATGTGCACAAACGTATCTTGTGGATATTTATAAACTGGCCAGGTGAATGGAAAAATCAGTCAGCCAATGCATCACACACAGCAGACGTGAGTCTGAATCGTTGTCTGCAACTCCAACTTTCTAACTGGCTTCAGAATGAAATGGAAAAAAATAGAGTAATCCGTAGCTGCTTTTAAAATATTCCTAATGGATCAGACCTATTCGCTAGAAATGTCGTCAATTAGCCATTTGCAAAGTGAATGACAGTTTTTTTCTCGTGTAATTAAATTTGGTTTGGCTTAGTGCCTCCATCCCTTCCTTCCCTCTAAACAGAAAAATAATTTACATAGTTGCACACAAAGGAGCACCCAGAAAAGTCCAGTGATTCATTCATCAAATTTCCATATTTGAGTAAGCAGTGAGTTCGGTCATCTTAGCCTGCAGTGATTTTTCTGAATTACGCCAACAATTGAAACAAGGAAATGAGAAGATGAGAAAAGGGAAAAAGGAGCCGACTGTCCCTCATAATCTTATTTCCTAACTTACTTGTCAAGGATGAACACCTCTTTCACTGTTTTAGGAGACTTAATGTTATTTAATTATCCTTTGAGGTCAGCATGTGAGATATGAAAACCTCTTTGAAATCTGTTTAAAAAATTCTGGCTTTTGCCATGTCAGGATAAGACAGTGGGGTGAACATCACTGCCTTATTTTTAATCAGGCTTGAAAAGTCATGCTGTTTGGAGCAAAGCCACTGACCTCCTTTACCTCTCCTAATCCCTGGAAATAACTCACATGCCCTTCCTTCCCTCTTCCATGACTGCTACCTCTTTTCTAATGCACATTCTTTTCTTTTCAGACATTAACTAAGAGTGTGGAAACATAAGAGCCCTTTTTACTTGAGAATCTCCCAATGCTTAATGAAGGCTAAAGAAGCTTTGCAGTACATATGTGGGTAATAAATATTTCATTTTGCAGATAGGTGAAATGAGACACAGAGAGCTCAGATGAGTTTCCCAAAATTATATGTTGCATAAATTAATCTGGGTACAGGAATGTAAGCATTCGCAACCCCAGCCCCTTATTTTATTCAAAATGTATGTGTGCCTGCACAATTAGTCAGGAACAATATAGATGGTATTTGTAGATGTATTGCTCCAGAATCTGCTGGAGGATCAGCAGGCATATTTGAATGGGTTGCCCCACTGAAATGCACCGGAGAAGGTATTTGCTGCCTGGCGGAAATTTGAAAGAATGATATCTATTCTTAGGGTTATTGCAGTGTTATCCAAATTCCTCTTTGTATCTGAAACGTGGGTCCCCTCCTGCAGTCAGCTTTGAGATATGTCTAGTTTGACATATGTAAACACTTCTAAATCAGATATTTACAGAGCATGGTAATACAGAGGATTTATTGCTGCCCATGTTTTATTATTTGATGCATTTGGATTCACTTTATTTACTTTGTCTTTCATGTGTGAATCATGCCACTTTGTCTTGTAGTACAAGAATGACAGCATCAAAAGTACAGCAGGCAAGTTTCCATATGTCTTCTAAATGTGGTCTGAGAGACTGTTAACTGCTAAACCTGGGGAGACCTCTCTGGCTGAAGAAATTATAGTAACTGGCTTGACTTTGTTTCACCTGCATGCATAGGAGAAGTACTTGATTCATGGAGAGTTCTGCTCTGAAGCCTTACTGTGTTGCAGCTGGTATCCTATGCTTTCTTAACAGATGTTAGAAAAGTGTGACATATTAGCAATGACAACCTGCTACAACTGCCGGTGTTTCACATTTCACAGGCAGCTTACTTCCCTTACCTCCAAAACTAACTGCCAGGGAGGTAAGCAACCTGGCTGAACATTTCTCTTCTGTCCATATACTAAAAACTAAATAGTAGCTATTAGCCACAGCTGTAGGCATGTGTAAGGTTGTACTGACTATACCAGCAGTTCTTAGCAAGATTTTCAAAGAGGAAAAACAACCATCCCTTCTGTTCTCGAAAGACAGTAGGAATAATCGAAGGATAATGAAATCCTTTGTGCCTCCAGTAAATATTAGTGCTGTTTATGAATTTTTTGAGTGTACTTATGTGCAGTAGGAATTTCACTTTGTCTTGGCTTCCTGTTTCTTGGGATGTTTTTCTGTGAGGAAATTCTAGCTCATTACCTCAAATTTAAGAATATTACTCAGAAAGATCAAAAGTTCACATAAAGAAGCCTCTTCAAATCATTCTGCAGACAATAATAAAGTGAAAAGAATCTGACAGTGAATGGCCATTGTATGTTCTGTAGATCACTAATGACCTGTTTTAACAGGGCTTTCTTAAAAATAAATTAAAAATGAATTCCTAATAATGCTGATAATAAGCCTTTGACTTGGCTGATGGCTCCAAGTTTCTCTCTTGTTCTATATTGCTCGTGTCCCTTCAAAACTATTGGCAGTTCATTCTGAAAGATCAAAGCAGCTATTTATACATCTTCCTCTCTAGCCAGCTCCAGGACAAGAAATCTGGAGAGGGAAAAAAAAAAAAAACCCAAACCAAAAGTACTTCCCACAACTGTCTGCACTGCAGTCTTGATAGAGTAAGCAAGAAGTTCAAAATAAAGTGCAGATGACTAAATGCCAGGGATATACTCTTTTTGAGTGATATTGTACCATGGGAGCATAGGATAGATGATAAATGTTTTCTCCAGTATAAAACTGTAGGAAAAATGTAAGTAGATAAGAAAAATGGAATTTTGTAGTTTAATCCTTGGTATCACTCATCTATAAATGTTTAGTTCCTTTAAAAAAAAAAAAAAGAAAAAAAAAAAAGGATGTTCTACTGATTAACCAAGTACTGACTCACAGAATAGCCTGCCACTGCTAAAGTGATAAATTCTTTTAACTTCTTGAATCTACTTTAATCAAGGAGTGATAGGCTGACTGTGAGAGCTGGGGGAATAGTATGCTGAGGTGAGATGGCTTTCAGATACCAATGTGATAGGTTTAAAAGTGAGGATGGTTTTGTCGTCTGTGTTGATGTCCATCTTTGCTCTTCTCAACAGCTTCATTTTGCTTCAGCATATGGAAATAGTGAATTATAAGTTAATAGAAAAAGGAATGTACTAAAATTTGATCTGTACTCAAATGTTACATTTTTAAGCTGCAGAAATTCTTATTCAGAAATAGGATAATTTATTGTCCATGTTGGGGAAAACGATTGGAGTATTGAATTTTGAGAGATAAGAAAAACAGTTCTGCAGAGATTTTGTGAGACTGTCCCTTCTGAATGATTGAATCCTTGTGTCCATTAAATACTTTGAATTATGGCAACTGTCAAAGCACTCGCTCTGCAGTTATAGCAGTCCATGGATAAGGATATGACTTCTGTGAATCGAATGACATTTCCATCCACTGCACTGGAATTAAAATTTTTCCTCACTACTAAAGTCTTCTGAACAGTGATGTGTGTTTCATAGAAAGTGGTCATACCGATCAGTAAGTAGTAAGAATGAGCTACACATCTAGAATTATATTTCAAGAGACAGCTCTTCATAGAATTTCTCGTAACGTAACCTGTTTTCCAAACATTTACACTCTGAGCTTCAGATCTGAAGTGATTTTAAAAGCTCTGGTATTTACAAACATTAAGTCAAAAAATAAAATGGAGTAATAGTTAGCCAAGCAATTAGTTCTTAAGGGAGTTAATCCATAGCTTCCTATATAATTCAGCATAATATTTCTACATATTCTTAAATTTGAAATAAAATAAAAGTAATTTGAATTTGGAAATTTGTTCAGTTTAATTGCAAACACAGTCTCGCTCTCAGCATTGTGGATATGCTCTGGGCCTTTCAGCAATAAATCTTACCTGAGCTTTATGCTTCATGTGCTACTTTACGCGGGCTGAACCACTCCATTCAGAAATGAATGTCAGATAGTTATGGTAGAATCATGATGGATAGCTGTTTTCTAGCACAGTTGTTCCTGGCCCAGTTTTCCATTGCACCATTTTTTGTTTAGTGTACAGCAGGCTTGAGGTTTAACAACCTTTCTGTATATGCTTCCACCTAAGCTGTTTATCCTATTGTGTGCATAGATTTAACAGAATTTGAAGAACTTTGTTTACACTCTTTATAGGCTTTGACTATGCGTTTTGAAAATTGCTTTAAACACAACAGAAAGTCAGTATATGGGCAGGTGTGTCTGAATTTACAGTGTGTGCTAATTTTAGCTTTTGAAATGGAAAATACTTTGGTCAAAAACAGAACGAATGGTAAGTGCCAGACCCCCGCCTTTACAAAAGAATCATCTTATATTGTATATCTATCTGCGTCCAAAGAGTTCAGAACTGTTACATTTTTATATTATTATATTTTAGAGCTGCTGCAAAAAATAGCTATATGCCATGTCAGTGTAAAGTAATAAAAAAAATTCTGCATCAGTGAGTACTGAAATGCTTGCTGCTTTTGTTTTCTTTGACAGCTTTTTGGAAACTGCAGCCTATTTCTGGATGAAACCAAAAATGGGAGAGAAAGAGGTGTCCCCACATTCTTTCTTCAGTATTTGGCACGAATTCAGTTCTGACTTCAAAGAGTTCTGGAAGAAGGAAAACAAACTTATTCTGCAAGAAAGGTACGTTTGTTTGTTTGTTCAAAGGCTTCCCTCCGAGAATGTTACTGCGAGCAATCACACAGAAACCAATCAACCTCACCTCGTTAGCACACAACATATTGAACATCTTTTTGATTTTTTTTTAATGGAAACATTTATTTTCTTTTTCTCAAATAATTGTAGTCTGTGAATGAAACATTAATGTCACTTTGTGCTACAGCTTTTTCAGGTCCATTCCATCAATGATATTTTTGGTAGAGCATGTAACTACTATGTCATTATGAATCCAAGCAATTGGAGACTTGCTTCAGGTCTGAAAGTTAAGATTTTCCATTCACATATTTACTGAAAACAACTCAAGGTATTAAGATATGACATATTGTAAATATTTGTCTTATGAAGCTGAAAAAAAGGAGAGGGAGGAGGAAGAGAGAGCAAAAAGTCCGTTGACCCCATCTTAATAAAAGAATCAAACCAAATCATAGCACAAATCACAGCCTCATGCAAACATGGCATATATGGCATAAAGAACTAAGATGCCACACAGTCTGTGCCATATACTAAGAGAACTATGAAGCTTGCTTTCATTTGCGTGCTATTACATTGTGCTCATTCTTTGTATATAGAAACAGTGCTGATTTAATCAGCTCTTTCATAAATAATAAATGCCATATAAGGACAGATTAAAAAAATGGAAACAAACATGGAAATGGTAAACACAGTTACATAATGCTACATCTTTTAGCAACTTGAGTGACCTTAGAAGGATAGTGAAGCTACGCCTTATCATTTACTGAACTTGAAGCTTCAATCCTGTTAATGATTGATATTGGTCATGTTTAGGTTACTTAACAGCAATAGGCCTGTTTTTCAAGAATGCTCAGCTGACATAATTGTCCCAGATATCAGATTACTGATGTTGGAAATCATCGATAACTTTGCTTAAGCACCTATATAATTAATAGGTCAAGTATATATGTCTAGTATTAGTGGATACATTTAGGAACAAGTAATCTTACAGTTAAGAAAACTGGGTTCTGCTCCTATTGCAAGTGTGATGTAAATGTTAACACAGGGGAGAAGCTCTCTGGGGATGTGTTTCACTTTACTAACTCTCTGACTTAATTTTATGTAATTAAGTATCTCTCTTCACAACTAAGTTGAGCTGACACTTAAATACTATCTCCAGGTTCCTATGCAGGGATTTAGCTGCCAACTTGGTACAAGATAATTTCCATTTATATTTTTGTGTGTTTTTTTTTAAAGAATGGTATTTTTAAAACAGTCTTTTCCTTTCTGAAATACTGAATTAGTTTGCTAGAGACAAGCAAACAACCCTCCCAAAAGAAAGCACTACAAAATATTTTTCTTTAAATTAACTAAAAAAGCACAAAACCTCTTCCTTTTATTTTTCTTCTAAAGCGTAAGAGAAGAATGAGATTCCAGTACAATCATTTAATTCTCTTTCAGTTCACTGCATGAATAGACTATATTTTGCCATGCACTGAAGCAGCAGAGAGAAAAATGGCTCTCCACTGGGTCCTTCTAGGGCAGGGGTGTCTTTAGCCTGAAAGGAACTGAACATGTTTACCTAGACAGTAGCTCCTAGAGGTAGGATGAGACAGGGAAGAAGAGAAGCAGGAATCGGGGAGCCTGCAGTGGGCAAGGAAGCTGGGAGGTTCCTGGGAAGCAGCGAGCACAGCCAAGGTAAGACTTGGAAGTGATGAGAGGAAGGAGACATGCCCAGCAGGCCAGAAGGCGCTGTTTAGAATTAGCTGAAATTCAGGAAGTCTCTGAAAATAAGACTAAAAATCATCTATCCCAAATATCAGAGGTAGGTTTTTTTTTTTTTTCCTCTCGTCCCAGAATTTTAATTCTGGCTTGTTTTACCCAGTTTAAATCTTCCTGTATACAGATTTTATTTGTTAGGAAGAGGCTGGGTTTAGAGTTTGGAAACCTTTGATATCTTGGTTTTAGCTCACCTCTGAGAGAAGTTTGGCACAGTGCCATTTCAGGACTGGCCAACTCAAGGTCTCTTTGCTGCCTTTTGGGAATTAAAATAGGTTGGCCAAATCAGCAGTAAGGATAAAAAATTTTCCAAGGAAAGCAGGCTTTTTTTTTTTCCCTAGAAGCAAAGAATCTTCTTTGGTAAAGCAACTGTTATCAAAGCCTTCCTGTGGAAAATATTTTGTCTGCCATCATAGTTCAACTTGACACCTAAAGTTGTTCTTTAGGCTATTTGCTTGACTTGCCATTTCAAGTGTTCTTTGTGAAAGAAAGGATGCTTTGATGTGAGGCCCTCTTGAGTATTGAGAGAGGACAAAGGAGAAAAATCTTGACAGAAGAATAAGTGCTGGAAAAAGGTGCAAGAATGTACAACATGACATTTTTCAAAATCTCAGCCTGTATGGACAGATCCATAGATGATGGACATCTACTTGTGCCACTGAAATAAAAGCTATTCATTCAAGAAACTGGCTTATAGTCCTTGCTGATGTTATTGGTGTGATGGAATGAGGGCTTTCTACCTACTCTGTGATGACCTATCTCCATCAAATTCTAATGATGTTATTTATACCTGCATGACTAGATTATATGAAGGTCTCAACAGTAATATTTCAGGGGTAAAAACCTGACTCCATTGGAATCAGTCACAAAAATATCATTAACCCTCAGGAAGACTAGAATATCCTGTTATGTGCTTTGTCAATGAACAGCTGTTAATTGTTTCTACATGCATAAGGTTAGTTGTATTATTCTCTGCTGCTAAAGTTGAAGAGAGGGTGAGTACGTTGATGGTCAAGGCAATTTTATGTGGGTTTTTATTGGCAGTAAAATCTTTAAGTGACAGGTATGGTGAGACTTTAAATGCCACCATTGTGGGAGAATTATTTGCCAGGGTGCTACCTGATGTAGAGTACTTTAATTATGATCATTATTTATAAAACATACAATAACTTTATCCCCTTTTCTTTTTTAATTTGAGCATCTTACTTTCTCTCCCTTTCTTTCCTCTTCTCTCTCCATTCCAGTATTTTGTTTAATAAACGTTTATGCTGTGGGCAACACTTC